CCTGGGAATGGGATTGGGTAGAGTAGTTTGGTTATTATGTTGTGGCGTGGCGAAGACATGCATAAAGATAGAGAGGTATCAAAGACGCGTGGTCCTTCTCCTTGCAAATAATATCACTCAGAAGCATCATTTTCTGATGACCAACTCCCAAACTTCCATGCTCAAACAGCCACGACGACACAATCTAATTTTAAATTTTATGTTGTACATCTAAGTTTCAAGCATTTATTTTATCTCTCACGGTATACATCGGAAACGAATATATCAGTAATATATATTTTTTTTTTTATAAACCGTGGGAATTCCGAACTTTTGGTTCATAATCTATTCGGTATCCGGAGACAGTCTTTATATGTTCCGATTTAAAGAATATCTCTCCGTCCCAAAGAAAGTTTGAATCTAGGATCAGGACCATGATAAGCTATTTAGGGGCCTAAGGCGAAACAAAAAAAAAATTGTTCATTTTTTCTATAATATACTAAAGTTATGCACAAAAAGGTATGTTCTAGAAATTATGTCACCAAATCAATGTGATTGATGGAGAAAACGTATATAGTACTGTTAAAACATACGATATATATGGTAGTGTTAATGTGTTATATGCAAAAATCTAGATATATATTTTTTTTGGAAGAAAAACTATGCGATTTAATTACATCAATGAAATAATAAACTGTCTGTTAAAATGTTACTATTAGTTTACATTGTGCAAATATGATATTTTTTAATTCGTTCTAAAAATGACAAATACGATCCCACCGGCCACCGGTATTGTAAAGGAAAATGGCAGACATTTTTGGAAACTTGCTATTAAGCAAATTAATTGTGAAAATTGGGACCGTAAAAATATTTAAAAAAATGTGGGGCCTTAGACACTTGCCTATTCTGATACGCACTAAGCACGATCATATCCGGAGCACAGAAAAAAACAACATCTTTGTGTTACCACTAGATTATCATCTCTTTGTTTGTTTTTTTTATAATATGAAAATATCTTTCAAACTATATAAGTATTGGTTTCTTTTTCTATACGTTTTAAATATATAATAAGATGGATGGTAAAAGTGGTTCTTTAATCGGTCATTGCACGAAATCTAGTTGAAACTTACAGACTACGCACTATGATTAGATTAACATGGTGAAGTTATTTAGC